TAACATCGGGATGAGCTTATATCTTTAAAAACGTCAATAGTTAAGAAAGTACAGTGCAATTAAACAAAAGTCATTATTTAATAAAGCAAAATTTCATTTATTTATACTTCACAAGTCACGGCAATCACATAATGACTGCAAGGTTGCTAGTTTATTTTTATTGAATTAAAATAAGAAATAAATTTATTATTTGTTTAAAAGTTATAAAATATATAACTGGAGATTTAAAAATTTTTTAATTAGTTTGTTGTAATAAATAAATTTTAATATTTTAGAAAAATTGAATCAATTTTTTTTAAATTCACATTCATAAAAATAAATAACATTAAAAGCTATTGTTAAATAAAGATCATTTAGAATTCTCAGAAGTTACGGAAGTTTCGAGAGTTAATCGTGTATTTAAGTAGGTATACATATATATATATATATATATATATGTTGCAATCGGTAAATCCGTATTTATATTAAATTATGAAAACCGGTGCCAATTTATCACTGTGGATCCGTTAAAATAATCAGAGTCACCCATCATCTTCAGTGTATTTTATTACTGTGTTTATTTTTAATTTTATTTTACTTAAAAAAATAATAATATTATCATCATTATTTAAAAGGTGTCACCCACGAGGGTGTCTAAGAGCCTGATACCGGCTAAAGTGATGTTACGCAACAATCGATCTAATGACAAGATCACTGAATTTATTTTTTCCGCTAGTTGAAATTTTAAATAAAAGCTACATTTTTTACTGATCAATCTTTTAATTAATAATCATTAATTATTTATTTGATAAAAAAAATTTTGTTGGATGCCAATCGAGTATTATTAATGAAAATTTGTCAATAATTAATATCATTTTTTTTAACATCTCACGGAGCTTAAATTGAAATGTTAGAACCATAATTGAAACTAAAGAACTCTTCTTGAAAATATATCTTTATATATGATCATGATCTCTTAATAAATAAAAATGAATCGAATTGATTTATAATATATTGTTGAACGGAGATAAGATTAGCATCATCATTGAAAATAAATTAAAAATAATGGTGTGTAGCATTGAAATTAGAAATTAAATGGATGAATAGATGAATTTACTCTTATAGATCTCTTTCTCCAGTTTCTTGCGTCACAATAATTCATGAAGCGAGAACAGTAACACCGGAGAAAAGTAAACACGTTTCAATTTAATGTATAATATTGAGTTTCAATTCTTAACTTCCTCACGAATCGTATTACTATTTTTTTACCTTTATTATTATTAACACAATTACTTTTGTTACTATTTATCATCTAGATCATTATATAATTTAAGTGACCATAAACACCCTTTGTTTTGATTTTTAAAATCTCTTAACTTATTTTACTATTGTTGTTGTTATTTATGATATGATACATACTTGAAAAGAAAAAAGTAAAGTGGGCGTGTGTAGTGATATAAAGTAAGTTAGCTTAAATTAAAAGTAAAATTCTTTGGACGAACTACATAAAATTATAGCGTCTAACTTTCAATTTCTTTCTCTTGTATATTAATAAAACCTTTCTTTTGTGTTACGTCTTAACTTTATAGAAATTAATTCCGTTATTGTAATTCGTAGAAGTTCAATATCACTTTAAAATCTTTAGATCTGAATTTGTTGAACATTAAAGATTAATATACGCTGATTTTTTATCGCTTTATTACACACATTTTTAATCAACCAGAAATAATTCATTGTGTAAATATAAAAATAGAAATTGGTTAGTGTTTAGTATCGATGAATTTATTTAACAAATATATTTTATTTATAAAGTAAAATTATAAAATCAATGAGGAAATAACTTTGAGTGCAAAATATCTTTCATTACGTAAAAGAACATTGGATCACTTGGAAAATAAATAATACAATAATAAAAATAATAATTAATCGTAAGCAGTGAATTTTATTATTGGAGTAATTGATCGTCTAAAAAACAATAATAAATAAATTGGGTGGCGTATTTTATTAAAGTAATGATTAATGATTCAATGTAAAAAAAATTTTAAGGTATATTTATGAATATTTTAATGTCAAAAAAATTCATTTTTATAAATTTCCTTCTAATTTGTTTTTTTTTTTCTAAATCCCCATTAGGACAAAAAAATTATGATCTAAAAATGTGGCAGACACTTGACAATTTTCTGCTTTTTAATGAATAATGAACTAGGTTTAGAAAATGAAAAAAAAAAAATTGCATTTATAATTTTTTAGAGCCTCTTGATGCAATTTTTTAAATAAATTTTTCTTGCTACAGTGGATTCTCAATAACTCGAACCTTGTTAAGTCGAAATCCTCAGTAACTCGAAAAAAATTGTATTTCCTATCGGGGACATTTTGTCGGAGGATATTTTCTCGGGGGTTGAAATGTTGCGGTACCAATTATTAGATGTCCTTAAATTTCAATATCATTTTAAACTTTATCAATAAAATAACAAAACAATTATTTGTACATTGATGAAACTTTATTGAACTAGTAGTATATATCATTACAGTCATTACAAGGATGAATAATAATTAATTATTATAATTACTTAATTAACAATAATATAATAAAATATAATAGCCGACAATTATAATACAATAAAGGTATATAATGAAAAAAAAAAAAGAAAGAAAACCCAATTATCTTTAGTTGTATTTTCTTGTGACAGCTGCCTCAATGCCTCAACGTTTCTAGCTTTTCTGCAGAGTTTAACTTATTCATAAACCATTTTGATCTATTCATCAATTTCTTCTCACTATTTAACTTTTTTTTTTTTAAATACAATAGTAATAGCAATAATAATAATTTTAATATTCATCAATACAATTATTAATTAATTTTCAATATAATTATTTCTACGGTAAATCGTTGTGACAATACAGAATTCTAAGCTAATTCTAATAAGCTACTCTACCAATCATCTACTTTTATTTTTAATTATTAATTTTTTTGGATTTTTCTTCAATTTATTACATTTGTAAATAGTAATTAATTGTTCTTTATTAATGTATAATATATATATTTGTTTGGTATAGTAAATGTATGAATTGAATGGCTGTCCAATCGAACTACAATCGTGACATCAGACTGCTTGTACAAAGGTACAAAAGATTGTACGGTCGATTATGTTTCTCGTGTTTTTGTTAATTAATAAATTAACTGATCAACTAATTAGTCAATTTCAATGGAAAAGTTTATAAATTTGTGGGCTATAGTATTGAGCCTCTTTTAAATAGATGCTTTTTTTTTATCTATTCTAGTCATTTAATTAAGCATTCAGAAATTTTTTTTAAGTTATTTCTAAGAATATATTTATTAAGAATATATTATATATGTTTTAGTAATTTTTAGTCATTCATACACAACGATACCCGAGAATTAAGTAATTAATTTTTTTTTTTTTTTTTTTTTCAATTAAAAAATAAATGATATTATCTAGATGGATGACTTTTTAAATTAATTATAATAAAAATAAAATTGTATCGAAAAGTTAATATTGAAAAACAGGCGAAAAAATTTTTATATCAATTGACAAGTAAGCAACCATTTTTCCCTGAATTTTTAATTAATATTAAGTACGCGAATCACAACCATTTTTATTTTATTGTTTTTTGTTATAATTTTTTAAATTATAAAACAGTAAAAATATTTTTTTTAATAATGTCAAAATTATTTTTTATTAAAAAATAATTTGTAGTAAGTTAATATTATTGTTGATATCAAAGTCTATTATTTCGCGATACAGATGCTATAAAGGCGTTTAAAAATTATACGCACTTATGGCACCCGGGAACCATAAAAAAATCAAAAAAAATTTTTTTTTCGGGAATCAACGTACTTTTGTATGAAACGCGCAGAAATGAAAAAAAAATTTTTCTTCATACTAAAAATTTTTTTGGACTTAAAAAAAAAATATAATTTTTATTACAAAATTTTTTTTTGCATTCCTGTACATTTCGGATGAAATTACGTTGATTCCTGAAAAAAAATTTTTTATACGCGATTTGAAAAAAGAAAAAATTTTTTTTTACTAATTTATAAAATTAAAAATTAATTATTACAATAAAGATAATTATAATTGATTTAAAAGTCAAAATTGTCCATCTTGATAAAAAATATTGAATTAAAAAAAAAAAAACGGTACATCCACGTGCTGCTTCATCCAAAAATAAAATTTCCCGTTCTCAAAAAATACTCAAGTATTTAATTGCAAAGCTTTTTTAACTAAATCGCGTTTCATAAATAATTAAAAAAAAAGCAATTGCTTTTTTAAAAAAAAAATTTTTGTATAAGTAAAATGGCAGTTGATTTAAGTAACTAAAATGCTTTGTAGAGAAATTTGTGCTAGTGATTGTTTAAAAACATCATCAGCAGTAATAATCTGTTGTAATAATAATAAGAATAATATTTAAAAAAGAATTTTGGAATGAATTAAAAATTGTGCAGCAGTTAATTGTACCTTTTTAAGATCTTAAGATGTCTATTAATAATTATTTAAAATGATAGTTGATTAGTTGATGGGTCCAACTTCAACGTACTCGTAAATGAAAGGCGATGAATTGTTGGGATCATCAATAATGTCCGAGCCGGAAAGATTGATGGCCGGGTCGTTCCACTCATCAATCTTTGAGCCGTCGATATCGAGACCAAGACGCAAATTATCCGGAGAGTTGCCAATAACAAAGTGTTCTTCGGTCATTGGTAGGATATCTTTCAGAAGCAGCCAAACATTTTCGTCAGCAATTACGTGGACTTTTGGAACCGGGAATCCATTGAATGGCGACGCCACGGGCAGTGTGTAGGCGCCCATGTTCTCGAATATTATCCAGTCGCCAAGATCTAGATCGTGCATCAATACGTTCTCCACAACTTGGTCTAAGCCGTCGCATGTAGGTCCCCAAATGCTTGATGGTACCATTTTGCCGCAGCCGTTCTAAATTTTTAAAGATTAAAAAAATAAATAACTATTAATCATCATTTTTTATTTATTATCATTTTTAGAAGATTATTTTTAAATAATTTATTATTACCTTAAGTGGAACGGGAACGACTCGCTGATGATCGTAGAGAATACAGTTGAATGAGCCGTATACACCGTCGTTTATGTAATACATGTTGTGAGTTATCGCACTTGGTGACAGTTTATCACTTCTTACTGAGCGCTTACTATGAATGCACGTGGCTAATGTAAATGCTGAGGCGACGTAAAAACGACCTGGCTCCGCGATAACATGCACGTCATCAGCTGAAATATTGTTTAGTATTTTTTTATTAATTATCTATTCTTAAACATGCAATTGTAGAATTCATTTTTATCTTTATTGAAATTTTAAACTCGGGAGATAAATTTTTTGAGATAGTTGATGATAAATTTAAAGATAATTATAATTACTACTTTTTTTACACACATATTATTATTATTATTATTATTATTATTCATAGTTTGAGATATGATTTATACTCTTTGACTAAAAAAAAAAAATTATAAATGATTCAGAAATGACCGTGTATCTTGAGAACTATTGATATATTGATATTTTTTAAGATATAAGCTCACTCCGACATTACACTCATAGAAACCTTACATTTGAGTACCCACATCAATTTTTCATATATTTTATATATTTATATATTTCACAAATACCATATATATAAAATATATAAAAAATGTCATGTGGGTACTCAAATGAAAGGTCTCAATGAGTGTAAGATCGAGATGAGCTTATATCTTTAAAAACGTCAATAATTAAGAAATGTCATTGTATCTTGTCAACAAATGATATTTTCAAAAATATAAGCTCACCCCGACATTACACTCATCAAGACCTTTCATTTGAGTACCCACATCAATTTTTCATATATTTTATATATTTATATATTTCATAAATACCATATATATAAAATATATCAAAAATGTCATGTGGGTACTCAAATGAAAGGTCTCGATGAGTGTAACATCAGGATGAGCTTATATCTCTAAAAATGTCAATAATTAAGAAATGACCTTGTATCTCGTGAACTATTGACATTTTTAAAGATATAACCTCATCTCAATATTACACTGGATGAGCTTATATCTTTAAAAACGTCAATAGTTAAGAAGATACAGTGCAATTTAACAAAGTCATTATTTCAGAAAGCAAAATTTTATTTATTTATAGTCCACAAGTCACATAGTGACTGTAAGGTTGCAAGTTCCTATTATTATTTCAATTAAAAAAATTATTGAAATTTACCGTCAAAATATTCATCAAGTGCTCCATTGACAACATCAGCAATTTTATCAATACTAGTCCCACGATCACCAGGAAAACCACCACCGATGTCCAGCAAATACGGTTTGAAATCCATCTCTTTCATCAAGTCAAACAAATTTCTGGCATGGCAAATCGCCCGATGGAACACCGGCGGGTCCTGACAACCCGAGCCGACATGGAAACTGATGCCGACAACGTCGAGGTCCAGCATTCGCGCCAAGTGAAGAAGATTTGGCGCTTCCATTACCGGGTCACAACCGAACTTCATTCCCAAAGGACACTGTGATATCTCAGCGTCACAACGTATACGCAACACAACCTGCAACAGCAATTACAATCATTTTTATTTAATTATTGTCCATAAATTTTATAATTAAAAATAGAGATTAAAAATTACTTTAGCATGGGGATGTATTTTTTTGAGTTTATGCAATTCACTTTCATTGTCAACTGTTGTAATATCAACACCAACTGCAGCAGCATGACGAATATGTGAAGCAGGCTTTGCTGGATTAGCAAAAATAATACGCGTAGGGTCTACACCAGCACTAAGGACTTTGTTTATTTCAATCTGTAGAAAAAAAAAAATTACAATTAAAATAAATAAATAAATTATTGTAATTTTATACTAGAGTGGGGCAAAAAAAATTTATTTTTAAAATAACCAATTTAATTTTTTTAATTTTGTTATTTTATAAGCTACAATTTTTATTTTGCTCCAGCCTACTATATATTATTTAATTGATGAATAAAAAAAAATCATACTTTAGAAGCACAATCAAAGCTAGTCCCTAAAGCAGCAAGTACTTCAATAACAGTGGGACTATCATTGCACTTGACTGCGTAGTAAGGTTCAACGCGTGGCAGCTTTTCCTTCCAAATTTGATGTTTCTTAACAATATCACCAATATCAAGCACGTAAAAAGCTTCTTCCTGCAACCCACTTTCAACAATGTCTTTCACTACACTCATCACCGATGATGAGCCGTCCAACACGTGGATGCGTTCGTTCAAGTTTGAAACTTTCATGGTGCTATTTTTTTTTTTTATTAACGTTTATTACTCTTAATATAATTTACTGAGATTTAGATTTTTTGATTTATTTTTCGCTTGTTTTATTTCTTTGTCCGTTGATTACGGAGTTCTTTTTTTACTCTGCAGGCGCTAGGCGGCAATCTAAGGGAATAATTTCAATTTTAATTAGTTATTAGTTATTAAAATTGTTTAACTGTTGAATTAATAAGCTGGATACTTACGAGGCAGCTGTCAATGAGAATTGGAAGAGTCGTGAGGAGGCGATTTAAGACAATAACAGCGTTGGGGGTGCTAGCAAAGCCACGGGGGCTCTGCGTTTAGGGCCAACTTCCAGTTGCCGCTGTTTGTGAGATCAACTCCAACAGACTGGCCAACCAGTCTATCGCAGATACAACCCTGCAATTAAAAAAAAATAATATTATTAATTTAGATAATCTATAATATTAAAAGAATAAGCAAAATTTTGTGACCAGTGTATTTACATGATAAAATGGGTTTTTATGGTAAAATTTGATACATAATTAAGAAATGACCTTATATCCTGTAAACTGTTGACATTTTTAAAGATATTAGCTCATCCCGATGTTACACTCATCAAGACCTTTCATTTGAGTACTCACATCAATTTTTCATATATTTTATATATTTATATATTTCACAAATACCATATATATAAAATATATCAAAAATGTAATGTGGGTACTCAAATGAAAGGTCTCGATGAGTGTAACATCAGGATGAGCTTATATCTTTAAAAACGTCAATAATTAAGAAATGACATTTTATCTTGTCAACTAATGATATTTTTAACGATATAAGCTCATCTCGATATTGCACTTATCGAGACCTTTCATTTAAGTACCTGTTTTGACTCGCGATTAGTTTACCGCAAGTATTTGAAAGGTTACGTATAAATATAAAATTAATAATTATATTTTATACCAAATAATTAATGGAGGTTGTTTTTGAATTAAATATTTAATTCACAAGGTATGTGGGGAATCTTACAATTAGATTGCTTCAAGTAAAAACCAATGAGGTTTAATTTTACTTAAATTTATTTAAAGTGCAAAAAATGCGACTGTGCGCTATAAAGTATGTAAGAATAACTAACTTAGAGAAAATACAAAAATTATTACAAGGAGAGTAAGAACTAGGCGTTACAATTACAAGCAGGAAAAATTAGGAGTAGAAATATTTGGCAACGAATAGTTGACCAGGAAATTAGTTGGAGGCGGGATAATTGCAAACTGTGCAGTTTGGAAAAACAAGCAGGAAAGGGAATATGGAAGCTAAGATTTTTTACCTGGATGGGCGATACGTTTACAAAAATATTTTTAAATTTAGTTAGCAATTAAGGTAGTTCCAGCATGAAATCACTTTTCGACAGATTCGGCTGAAATTTTTTTTTACGGGTTCAGAATAGCTTTATTTATAAATTCCTGAAATTTCATAATTTTTGACCGTTTAAATCGCGAGATTTTTAAAGTCAAAGTTGGCGATTTTGAGGGTCATGTTCCATCTAAAGCATGTAAAATGTCCGGTCTCTCCAACTATTTTTTATTATATTAAAAAATTCTCTCGACAGAATTGGAAAAAAAAAATTAGGAGAGTGTTGAAAAATGTTTTTAGAATAAGTTAAAAAAATAAAAATAGCACCTCACCGTTTTGTTATCGAGATATAATAATTTTAAAAAATAAATTTCGATCCATTTCTAACCTACTCACTTAACAACTTATAATGATTTGGCAACGCCGTGCGCAACGCTCCCTGAAATAGTGTAGCATAAAAAGCGGGAAATTCAAATCTTTCACGGTTTTCAAGAGCAACGTTGCCAGATCACTAGACTAACAACATGTGATTGTATGTGTGAACGTCTGTGTGCCGTGGCTTTTAAATTTTTGTCTATAGTAAATGCTCTGACTATACTATACCACGCTGGAACTACGTTAAAAAATTAAAATACAAAATTTACCAAAAGTAAAAACCCAGAACGTAATATAATCCAGGTATCAAATTTATGGTCATAAGCAAATTAAGAGTACTTAGGAAAAATATCCCAAAAATTAACATTAAAAATTCATTTACTATTCTAGGGCTAGAAAATCAATTAAATATAAAAGGCAAAAAGGTTGTCTAGACTAATACTGCAATAGGCTTTAAAATGTTATATTAAAAATATATGTCTACGACGGAACAGTACCCACATCAATTTTTCATATATTTATATATATTATATATATGTATATTTGAAAAATATATCAAAATGCATGTGGGTATTCAAATGAAAGCTCTCGATGAGTGCAACATCGGGATGAGCTTATATCTTTAAAAACGTCAATAATTAAGAAAGTACAGTGCAATTTAACAAAATTAATTATTTAATAAAGCAAAATTTTATTTATTTATAGTTCACAAATCACGGCTAGTAATAATAATAAGAATACAATGAATTAATTATTAATTAAAAGTCGATGAACTTCTAGGATTTCTCAATTATACGATTGAAGCTCATAGAAAAGTTATTGATTTGACATTAATTCGTACTTGCATTAACTTTTATTCCACAGACTATTAAATGTTTTAACTTCATAAAATATTTTATCAAACAATAAAGCAGTAAAATTTTTATAAAAAAGTAATTGTTGATAATTAACAAAGAATTTTTATAATAAGATTAAAAACTTACTACTCAAATAAAAATATTATCTTTATTTGAGTAAAAAAATTTAATTGAAGCAATCAAGAATATGACGTGTTTGTTTAATTATTTATGATTACATATATGAAAAATAATTTTTAATATTTATTGTATTTAATAATAAAAAATATTGTAACATACTCGGCTGTGGGCGAAAATTCTCGTGCCTTGTTTATAACAGTGAATAAAAAAATACGGCGGATTCAAGAGTTGATTCGCGTTAAATTTTAACCAAGTGTCCAATAAGTGCTCAGTAGTATTAAACACAAAACGTTGATTAAAGCGAGAAAAAATCTCGGCTGATAAATGTTGAGATGCAAAGTCGAATGACTTTTTATTGATATTCTATTTAAATGTTCTTTTAAACTGAATTGAAAGTGATTAATTATTAATTATTCGTTTAATATTAAGTATAAAGTATTTGAGATGAACTATCGGATAGTACTGAGTTCGCAGCGCGTATTTACCCACGTATTTATACTGCCTTGATAAGTTTTATCAAAATTGTGGTGTTATATGTTACGATTTAAAGTAAATGCCGAGTGAATCTTATCTGTCCGCAATAAGTGTACGATTAATCGTGATCCGCTCTACATGTACTATGCATCAATATATATTTATATTAGATAAAAATTTGTAAATGGGGGTAACACTTGAAAGATGATTTTTCTCCACTGGGGGTCAGACATCAATTATTAATGATAATGATAATTAATGTTTGTATGTACCAACTCTCTTTTTATTATTCTTTCACCTAGTGATTATCAATCGACATTATTAATTATTATTATCATTGTAATGTACACATAACAAATGAAATTAAAATTTTTTATCGATTACTCATCGACACTCAGCGGTACAAACTAGTTTTTACAATGTATTTCTTATTAAATATTGATCTTCTGAATATTCAAGCGATTAAAAATTTTTATCTTCCACTAGACTTTTGTATCTGGGATTTTTCTATCAGAATTAATAAAATGAGATTATTCAATGGAAAAAAAAAAAAATTGCTAGTTATCAGTCATAAGTTAATGACTAAAGCTATTGTCTTTTTAAAATTTTTGATCCTCATTTATCGGCTTTTGAAATAATAATAATAAATAATGATGATTAATCACTTAACAGATGTCTATTACTCAACGAATTTTTTTAAACTGATTAAATTATCAATTTTTAGAGAAAAACTTTTCTATACACAGAAAGAAAAATTTATTAACTGGAAAATAAAATTCTTGGCTCAAGAAAATTTTCGGTCGCCTGAAGGAAGACCGAAGTTGTGTTGGTCGAAGTTAAAATATTTCTTTAAATTTTATTCTTGGAGGTCATTTTTTCTTAATTCAATCATAAAACGTGATACAATAGATTTTTATATTTGATCAAGATTTTTAGACACTTTAGGGAAGCAGCGCTACCTACTTCAGCTGAGAAAAAAATTTTCTTATCTTGAGAAAATTTTTCTCTTGAATATTTGATACCCATTTTATATTATTTTAACGTGCAATTATACATATTGAATGAAAAAAAATTATGAAATATTATTTGATCTTCTCATTTGATATTTTAATCAATAAAAATATTATTGAAAATTTACTTCTATCTTTATATTCAATTTTTTGGAGCAAGAGGCTGAATTTTTTCAAAAAAATAAGATTTTCTTGACTTAAATAAATTTTCTTGGTTCAAGATACGTATTTCTTGAAGCAAAAGACTTAATTTTGTTGGAATAAGTGAAATTTCTTGTCAAAAAAAAATTTTTTTTGCCCAAGAAAATAATTAGAAAGAAAAATATTTTATTGGCTCAAATGAACCTTTTTTTATATGACATGGAAGTTAGCAGACGTCTAAAAATATTTGATTTTTTCTTATTAATTAAATTACAACTAAAACGATATTTATAAGAAATTGCACTTATAGTTTTTCAAGTTTTTAACATGTGATATTTTTTTGTAATTGTTTAATTGAAATTTTTTCGATAAAAAATTTCTAAAAATTATGAAATGTCGGCTAACTTCATTTTCATTTTTTTCTATGTAAATAAATTTTTAATTTGGGTTTTTCCTTGATTAATTTAAATTTCTTGCGTAATTTTTTACGTCGTATTAAAACCGGTTTGTTTGTTTTGAAGATTTTATCGAAAATATTTATTGAATTAATATTACAATCATTTCCTGGTATAAAAAATTTATTAATATTAAGTATTATTTTTTTATATTAAAATTCGTCTTTTTAATTATTAAAAAAATATTTCATATATTTTTAATTTTTATAAACACCGGAAATATAAATAACTAATAACAATCATTAGAAAAAAAAAATAATACAATCACATTATTATGACGACAAAAAAATGTATATTATTAAAACATAATATTCAATTCCCGATTCCATATGTATCACCTTGACACGTGTGTGTTATTTGATCACAAGAATAATCTCAAAAAAAAGATTGAGTAAATTTCAAAATAATATAGTAAATCAACGCAAAGATAAGCCGGAGTTTCCTGTAATTCTAAGAACAATATCTGTACGTGCTAAGAATTGTAGTTTAAATTTAATTGCAATAGTTAATAATGATAATAATAATAATAATAATAGTATTTAAAAATTCAGACACTTGACACCGTGACTGTTGATTATTACAGATAATCGACTCTCTATTGATTCATAAAAATAAACAGCTATCTATTTCTATCCCTGAGCTACTTGATACCGATCCACCAGACGTTTCCGTTTTGCTGATCACTGATTATGATAACAATTGATATTATAATTAATAACATTAATTGTGATTAAAAATTTCCATTGAATCAGCCTCTTGTATTAAATTGTATCATAATAATGAGCTTAAAAAAAATATTATTTGTTTACTTAACATCTCAAACAATTAATTCCAATAATTACATCCAAGATAATGAAATTTAATTTAAAAAAATGACATTAAAGTCAGCTGTCACTTGATAATTTTTTAATTTTTTTTTAATAAATAAAATTTGCTCCGAAAAATGATTAAAAAATTGCATTTATAATTTTTTAAAAATTTTAAATGTTAATTTTTTGTTCTTGTTTTTTTTTGTCATAATTTATTTGTTAAAAAAATTATTAAATTAATTCTCATTTAAAAAAGTGACAACGTCATTAAGTAAAACGCGTGACAATTACGATAACGATTAATATAAAAGTAACGTCATCAAATTAAAGTCTTAGAAATAATCTACGTGGACAAAATTATTAATAGAAAATAATTTTAGCTTTAAAATAAATTTTACTAAAATAATTTAATTATTAATAATAATTTTTAAATGTCAAATTTATTCTTAAATAAAATCATCTTATATAGATTAAATATATTAATATATTAATGACGAAGTGAAATAAATTAGTACGTATATTTATGTACCACAAATAACATGATTGAATCATTGGACAGTTAAAATGAGCTGTAGTATCTGTTCACATGACATCGTCTCAATACACTAACCACGATTCGATGTTTTATGATAAGTCTTTCAATTTTATATTAATGGTAATGATAATTTTGATATAATCGTAACAATTTCATCGGAGATAATTGGAGCGAGAAATTTAATTATAAACGAATAATTATTAATAAATATAACAAGGACATGATAATACGATTGGTAATCAAATATTAGATAACTAAATTAAAAAAAAAAAATTTTATTCTTTTATTTTTAGAAATAATAATTACCTTGTAAAATGATTGCCACCCTGCGGGTAGGCACTGGATTGAAGGCGGAATGATGGAGGTTTTCGTAAACTTTATCCCAAAAATAAGTCAAATCGTCTTCGGGACCTGGATCAGTGAGTCCTGGTGGAGCCAGTGCTCGCTGGTGGTACAGGCGATTGTTTTATGATGATTATTTGAACTTGACAAGTACATTCGTTACTTTAATTTATCCCACTTTTTCTCGTTATTCACGCGAACGCGCTTTAATAATTTTTTTTAAATTATTTTTCGCAAAATGCAAGTCCAGGTGATTAAATTTAGTGACTTGAAAATTGAGAACTGAGTACTGAGCCGGACCTTAGAATGAACGAGGCAGAGCGGCCATGAGATCAGCTCAGTCTGGTCTCGGTAATGTGAGTAAATTGGTAATTATCCGTAAATACACTTTGGCTGAATTCACGTCCAGCGTTTTCAATCATTTTGTCGTTTTCAACGCAGCGACAACTCTAATTTTAAATTTTTCTATTAGCGGGTAGTGCGCATGCGTCATTTTTTGAAATAGTTCTAACGGCTGCCACTAGGGGCGCTATAAAGCGCAACCGCTTGGATAAGAGACTTAGAAAAGTACCAGCCAGCATCTTAATTTGCTGTTTGTTAAAAGTAAATTAGTTTTTTTGATGTTTAATTGTTTTATTAATATTTATTGATGCTGACATTACTTAATTTAGATAGTTTCGTATATTAACAAACACTAGAGTATATGAATGAACTGTGACATTGTTATTTTGGTTTTTTATTGGTGATATACAGTCCGGGATCTCGATTGTGACCATGAAATAATTGACAGTCGACAAGAGTTTTTACATAGTTAAAAAATTAATTAAAAGGTAATAAACATCTGACAATTACTTTTCTTTTGTTAATAAATTTTTATTTGAGAAGTGAAAAAAAATTATTCAAGGAATATTTATGGATATTTTATTGAAATAAATTTTCAAATTTTTTGCAATAAAAGTGACGATATTAAAGTAAGCAGTCACTTGAAAATTTTTTAATTTTTGTTAACAAAAAAATTTTATTTAAAAAAATTGCATTTTTAATTTTTTTAAATTTCTAATTGTCAATTTTTTTATTCTAGTTTTTTTTTGCTATAATTTATTTGTTACAAAAATTTTCAAGACTATTAAATAAAATTAATTTTCATATAAAAACGTCAAAAATACTTTTAATGGTAAAATTTACTTTTTTTTATAAATTGAATTGTTATAAATAAAAATTTAGTTAAAAAATTTTACAACTAGGGATTAAAAAAAAATTGCAAGTATGAATTTTTATAAAAAAAATTTTTTTTATAATTAATTAGCAATCTTAAAACTTAACTAATTTATGTAAGGAATTTAAAGAAATGAAAAAAAAACATTTTTTTTTTTTTTTTAAATAAATCCATTTTATTGTTTTTTGATAACTTTATATTGAAATGAATTGCTAAATTATAATGTCAACGACCATATCATGCTGAAAAAACCAGTTCTCGTCCGATCACTGAAGTTAAGCAGCATTGAGCGTGGTTAGTACTTGGATGGGTGACCGCTTGGGAACACCACGTGTTGTTGGCATTTCTTTTTAGTTTTTTTGGAAAAAAAATTTATCTTTTTATAGTTCCTTGTATTTTTTTTCCCAAAAAAAATCACTTTTAACACAAAAAAATTTACCAGCTAAATTTTATTTGAAATATTTATCCAAATATTTTAAATTCATTTATTACATTGATTTGTTTTACCCACACTGATAAAAGAATTGTTATTAAACAATTTAATTTTACTAAAACATAAAATATGCAATATTTATTAAAAAGGATTACGTTCTGAGAAACGTCCTTACGCTTGAGAGGGTCGTCACTTACTAACTATTTCTTAAAGAAAATATTTTACAAGTAGGTCTAAACCTCTACTCCAATACTTGAAATTACAGATGTTTTTGGCTGACAAAAAAAAATATACAACTCTATGAGGGTAGAGTGTTGAGCTTCATAAAAGAAAGAGTCCTTTGTGTGACCCAAGGGTCTGAGGTCATAAAAACAGAGTTAGGACTGCATTTCCTTTTTAAAGCGTTTAAACAAAACGTTGAGTTCAAAATAGAAAAAATAGTTTCCTTCATTCTTTTTTTTTTTTCTAAAAAAAATCTCTATCAATAAAAATATGAAATACTTGAAAATTTAAGTATTCTAAATAATTTGTCTTTTTTCAGACCAAGATTTGGATTCTCAACATGGATTGTTCCAGCATTTATCTGTCTAGGAAGCTGAATGTTTGGATGTGCAGCTTGGTGAGTCAATAAAAATATTATTTCAATTATTTATATAAATATCAACTAACAAGTTGATATCTTAAACAGTCGGCATTTTATCATCATAATATCTTGCGAAAATTTCAATTTTTTTTATAGTAAAAATATTTATTCAAATTTTTAAACTTTTAAATACAAAATAAAGTTTTATAACAACAATAAATAATTAACAATCAATAATTTTCATAGAAAAAAGTATGATACAACACACCACTCAAAAATTTCAATTTCAATCTGAAAATAAAATCTTGCAAGTATAAATTCCTTACAGCATAAATCTGTAATCAAAAAATTCTATTCGTAGCTGAATTAAAATATGAATCGCTATATTAATTATCAATGACTTTAGAAGAGCATCAATGTAATTTATTTCAGTCGTCAGGATTATAATTATCTTTCGAAAATTTTTTTGCAATTTAAATAAAATTGCGAGAAATATTTCGAGAACCGAGTCCTCGCATCCTTTGATAGCGACGTTGTATCTAAAAATACTATAAAAATTCAATTATTTTTTTAAGTCAGTCAAAATAGTCGCATTAATTAATCATCTATAAATCAAAGCCCATCAACCCGAGTAACAAAATTAATATAAAAATACCTGAGAAGAGATAACAGTCCGTATGTTTTAAATGTACCGATATGTCGTTTAAAAAATCTCGGGTCAACTATAACACTCATGCGGATAACTAAAGTTATCACCAAGCAAATCACAGCCACGAATCCACTAGTCGTTCTATATACCGAGCATTTATTTGAATTAAAGCTTTGCCAGTACGCTCCTATCGTTAATACAGAGTAAAAACAAAGCCCGACTATCAATGATAGCTTTGATTCTAAAAAAATATTTACAATTAATTATATAAAATAAACAATGTGATAAGCTGATAAGATTTAATTAAACTTGAATTATTTACAAAATTAACGACGCAATACGTTACTTGAATTTTTATATTCTCGCACTCCAGCAACAGCTACTATTCCAGCATAGCAAAATTCCGCAAGGACATTAGAAGTCATATTCTCGTATTTAAATTTTTAAAAACTACTCAACAGCTTTTTTTATTTATATTAACATTTATCAATGCCCAAGTTAGCAATGGACTTTTTCACCTCTTCTACTCCAACAGGGATCATACACGTAGAGTTTAAGTAAATAATTAAATACGAAGTACTTAATAAACTAACGCTCCTGTTTATCGATTTTTTTTTATAAGCGGGAACATTTAAATATGTTAATTTTATTATTTAATTTTTTAGACAACAAAATATTTAATTTAGTTTTTAATTTATTTAAATATTTTTTACATTTTAATTAATATAGTTTTATATTTTAATAAAAAATAGAGAGACAATAAATATGAAAAATAATTTCATTTAAAATTAAATATTAATCATTATATAACACATTATTTTAGAAGGATAAACTTTAATAATATTTTCAAATAGTGAGTGATTTTTTTCGCTTAATTTTTCGAGCATAAACGCCGCAATAGAGACTGTTACGATTCGGATTATACTCCAAGCATGTAAAGCGACACTGAAACAAAAAATTAATTATTTAGATATCGAAGAATGATTAAAGAATTACTACTAATTTTTTAAAAGATAAAAATATATTGATAAATATTTACCTAGCTTTTGCAATATTAATCAATGGTTTTATTTTATTTTTATTAGTATTATAAAAGTTATCATTTATAATCCTCGAAGCTGAAACAATTCCAGCTGCTACGGCGCTTGTAATCGCCAAACTAGCCGTAGTGGCCATTATACCCCATATTTCAAATGGATGATTAACAGTCGAATACCAAGCGCAAGTCAAAACTGATCCATAAGACAATCCCGCAATTAACGAGATTTTAGAGTCTAAAAAAAAGGAATCTTTTAATAAATTTTAAATAATTTATTTATTTATTTATTTATTTACAGTAAAATTTTACTTACTTGTTTTTTTATAATTATACACTCCAACTCCAGCAATTCCGGCTGCGAAAGCAAATGTTGAACAGTTCAGCGAAAAAATGGGAAAAAGCGGGAAAAAATCACTCATTTTTATTTTTTTTTAAATTTATAATAAAGCTGATAAAAAAAAAAGTAACAGTAAAATTTTGCTCTAGGAAACTTTAATAAACAAATTAAACAAAATACATAACACCTTAAACCTTATTTGTATTTATAAACATAATGTTTGAGACCGGTAAGAATATTTTGAGTAAAAACACAAGATAATATATAATAGGAGAGCAAGTTTTTTGGAATAACAATATATAGATACACTACACTCTAATTATGATACGGAATGAAGTGCTCTTATCTGACGTTAGCGTAATCTCGTGTTTCGGGTTACATACAATACAATAATATTCTTCGTATGTAATTCTTACAAAAGTTATAAAATATGAAAATTTGTTCTCGTATAAATTAAATGCGATATTTAAATTTATTTATTATTTATTCGACTTTTTGTACTTGTGGAGTTGTTACAGTTTTTACTACTGTTCTTATGAACATCACAGCACTGAAAAATTCCAATAATTTCATTTATTAATTAATGAATTAATTAATTAAACAAAAATAATTTATTCATCACAAGTGTGAATTCAATTGACGTTAAATATTTATTTAATCATGAAAGAAAAGTAATTAAATTTTCAAAGAAATTTTTAAACTGATAAAAATGAATAAAAAATAATAAAAATATTTTTATAATATTATTTTAAAAATAATAAATTTTTAAAATGATAAAAATAAAAAAAAAAAAAATTCGATACGTAATAATTCTAAGAAATTTTTAATGGAATGTAGAAAATATTTTCTAAAGGAATCATTTAATCTTCAAACAAAAAAAATTAAAGATGTCTGCTAATTTCATTGCAATATTTATTCATGATTAAAATAATTTAATGTCTGCTAAATTCCTACTAATAATTTTTCATATCAAAAAATAATTTTTCATATCAAAAAATAATATTTTCTTACCTAATAATTGCAATAGCACCAGCGGGCATAATTTTACCGGTATTGTAATAACGATAGCCCATCATACCACCTAAAGTGGCACTTGATCCCAAAAGTACTGCGCAATTACGAGGATCCTGTGAGGTTTGATAAGCTCCGAATCCCAAAATTGTACCAAAAAGTAAGCCAGCGGCTAATGACGGAATTGATTCTGTTGAAAATTAAATATTTAATTAATGACAATGACAATGAAAATTAATAATGATATTTTATATATAAAAATAAAATAACTTACTTGATTTAACATAACCGAGTATTCCACCTCCAGCAACAGAAGCCGCGTAAGCGAACGCTGCGTAATCAATCGGCATCTTTTTTATTTATTTTTACTTAGTAGTTTTTTGAATAACTACTACTCACTATCGGCTAGGTTATGCAATAATTATAAATTACAACGATGTTTGTATGATAGGATGATGATATCAAGTGAACTGAAGTAGCTCGAGTCTCAAGGTCTTGAGTTTGATAGGAACTTGTTGATATTTAATGGTGGTCGCGCGTATTTTATTTTTGCACTTGCAATTAATTGTCAACTATTTATTTAACAATTAAAATTCAATTTTTAACCCTTAATAATATTATTTTTAAAAAATTTTATTCTTACAAATAAATTTTTAAGTATAAATTTATTTATTGAAGAAAATTAAATAGATTTTATTATTTAGAAGATTTAAATTTTACGCGCTCTTTTTCTAGAGAAAAATCTAGGGATTTTTACTTTAAAAATTGGTAAAATTATTTTTGTTTATGTTTATTTATTTTATAATTTTGTTATGAAATTTTTGAAACATTTTTTGGAGCTCCAATTTTTTAAATTTAAAAAATTTGAATTTTTTTTTTGTTTAATTTATAATAATTGCTGATTTTTATTTTAATTAAGATTGCTGATAGATAATAAAAGTTATTTTAGAAAAAAAAAAAAAGAGATAACAATTAACTCATAGTCATCTAATGACTCATGAAAAATAATAATTCTAAATCTAAAAGCATTTAAGATCTAGCTATAACTTGTTACTGTCATTCCGAGTCATCACGTGCTCCTAGAAACACTAATGTAATTAATACTCAAAAAAAAGTAAATAATAATTAATATTTTGGAGCTTATTTTTAAAAAATTTGGGTAAAATATTTTTTAAATTAAAAATTTTTATAATTTTACTTCATAAAATTATTTATTCCCTTGAATTTAATAAGCAAAATTAAATATGGTTTCAAACAGTGTGTTGTACAATACAGGAAATATTCTTTCTTTGAATGAATTAAAGTTAAAAGCTGGCAAGACTTCGGAAGAAGAGGTAATTATTTATTTACTTTGTTCAAATTTCATTAAAATTATTTATTATTTATGACTTAATCAGTAAGTATAATAATTGTTTTTTATAAAAACTTTTTTAGAGGTTATAAACACTTATTTGATTATTTCAATAAAACTTGTCAATTAACTTATTTTTTAATGGATAAAATTTTGTTTCAGCTTGTTGAGGCTCTCAAAATAGTTCTCAAGGATTCTCAAAATGTAAAGAATAATTTTATATTTATTTAGTTAGACATTTGATAATTTTTAGAATTGTTTAACAAATGAATTATATCAGGAAAAATAAAAAAATTTCAGCTTTAGAAATTTAAAAAATTATAAATGCAATTTTTTAAAAATTATTTTCTAGACCTAATATATTTTTTTGGAAAAATAAAAAATTATCAAGTGTCTTTTAATTCAATTGGCAATATTTTATAAATTATTTTTTTTTTTATAAAAGTTATCACTGCTATTTTTTATATCACAATTGATTGCTTCAGTTAATGCAATTTATATTTTTTTACAGACAAGTGGAAATGATATTAATGCAGGAGGTGGTGATAGAGAGGAATTAAAGATAACAGTAAAAATATTCATGCAATCTGATGATCCTGAAATACTAAGAGACGCTTTGGAGCGAAGTATGTATTTTTTTTTATTTTTAAAATTTATTTTTTAATTTAACTTTAGATTTCTATTTAAATAGTAGAAAACAAGCAACCTTGCAGACAATATGTGACTGCCGTGACTTGTGAACTAAAAAAAAAAAAATTTTGCTTTATTGAATAATGACTGTTGTTATATTGCACTGTACTTTCTTAAATATTAACATTATTAAAGATATAAGCTCATCCCGATGATACACTCATCAAGAGCTTTCATTTGAGTACCCACATACATTTTGATATATTTTTCATATATACATATATATAAATATATGAAACATTGATGTGGGTACTCAAAAGAAAGGTCTCGATGAGTGTAACATCGAGATGAGCTTTTTTCTTTAAAAATATCA